ATAATTTGAGAAAAGTTTGTTCTCAATACATGGAAAGACTGAAAACTATCAGAAGATATGGAGAAGAGAGATCCAACTCGTGTATAATAGGTTCGTTTTGTTGTTGTTTTGTTTGTTTGTTTTTAAATAGAATACAAAATGCAGTCAATGACACAGCTAAACAAAGCTTTAGAAAACAGGGATGTGGGGGACAATATGGGCTACCTGTGACCCAGAAAACAATGAGGAAATTTAAAAACACCCTAGCAAATCCTTTTAATTATAAAGATGAAGGAATAATCTGAAAGCACTAAGAAGATATTTTAACTTAGATTTTCTATTTTAAAAAATCAAAATCAGTTTTAAAAATTAGAATCTGTGTAACAAAATTTTGAGATAACAGACTACACAGTTTATTAGGAAAAGATTGCAGCTTAAGAAGTCTGTATTTAGTCTGGTATTTCATTCCCGTAAGAAGAAAACAAATACAACTTTTAGATAACCAAGGTTTTAAAAAAATTAGAATTTCTGTGTCATGAAAATATTACCCAAAATGCATTATGAGTAAATGAGAGACTAAGCAAAATAAAAAGCTCAAAGAGAACTTATGGTATTAAAGAATTTGTGGTGAATAATGAATTCTATAAAACATGGAATTGTATGTAAATAATTATTGTAGAGGCGGCTGGGTGGCTCAGTCAGGTAAGCATCCGACTTAGGCTCAGGTCATGATCTCACAATCCGTGGATTCGAGCCCCACGAAAGCACAGAGCCTCTTGGGTTCCTAGATATCCCTCTCTCTCTGTCCCTCCCCCACTGTCTCTCACACATGTGCTCGCTCGCTCTCTTTCTCTGAAAAATAGATAAACATTTAAATAATTCTTGTAAATATACTTATAAAAGGTGAATGTAAAATATTGGTGATAAAGAATATGTAATGTGGCAAATCATAATATGGGTTTGATGCTCAAATAATATAAAGCGGTCTAGGAACTAAAAGAAAATACAAAACTAAAATCACACCCTTTCATTCATGACTTAGTAATCAAAAATATATAAGGTAAATAATATTTCTGAAATTTAAAGTAAAATATATACTTTCCAAATCACTTAATATTATGTGTGTGTGTGTGTGTGCGCGCGCGCACGTGCGCGCATGTGTAGTCTTTTATAACAAAAGTCAGAAACTAGTATTTTTAGTACATGGAAAATTATTAAGAGAAAACACAGGGGTAAGATGGATTTTGGCTAAGCTAGCCTAACAGGGTTCTTGCTGAAGGCAGGGCAAGGTATCAGATATCACCTAGGGGGTGATGGAAGGTATAGGAGCTCAATCAGATTATCAAGGGTAGGGGATTCTGTCTAAGCAAATTTAGCAGATTCTTAAGAAAATTGAGCAATACAAAGACAGACAGGGATGTACAAAAGGTGAAGCCTCGCTGGGAAGAGGACTCAGAGAAGCCTGACTCAAGTTTGGTCAAGGGAGGAGCTCTGTCAACATGCAGCCTTAATTTCAAGACATGTGGATACTTCGTTTGGAACTTACAAATAATTCAACACTCCAGGTCTCTCCTAATTTACTTATGTGACCCAGAGTTACTTTAGATGCCAATTCCCTAGGTATGGAACAAAAAATAACTTCACATTTAAATCTTGCTCGCTGGGTTTCTAAGTTCCATTGCCAACAGATTCTTTCCAATTACTCACAAAATAATATGGTAAGATAGTACAGTATGGTATGGCATTGGGATAATGTATCTGCCATGGCTCAGAATGGTATATATGCCATGGGAAAGCCTATTAGCAGAATGGGAGAGAGTTTCTTACTGTAAAAACCACAGGTATTATCACAGAAAGCCAGAAATTTGAAGAAATTAATCTCTGATACCATCACAATAGAACAATTTGTATCATCTTAAGATAATTTCTTTCCATGCTTTACTTATGAACAACATTTATATCATTAAAATTTTACTGTATATACAAATTAATATCCTGCTTTTGTACTTATTATATAATAAGCACTTTCTATGTTACCACGTGGTCTTTTCAATTATTGTTATTATTTTAATGACTACTTAGTATTTGTGAGGTAAATATTTCATTCTTTAAATTCTTTGTTTTTGGGCAATCAAGTTATTGCCTTTTAAATTTTCAGTAAAAAATGTTCTTCTAGCCAGTCACTCAGTAATAGAAATAATTTTAATGAAAAGCTCAATTCACTCTCTTACCTAATCTGAAGATTCATACACTGATCATAAGTGATATGTGATTAAATAGAAAATCTGGTAAAGAGATACTGATCCAAGAGGAACTAAAACACTAGAAACTATCGTTTATCTTGAAGTTTTTACACTAAGAGACCAAGAGTCTGCAATACGTACAGTTAGCAATCGGACAAATGCTTTTCACCAAAATTATGTTAACATCATCCTAACTTTTCCGAAAATAAACTAATAATAAATATAAAATTGGGGAGGAAAAAAGAAAACCTTCCATCCCCCATAAAACAGTGATCTAAGTGCACTAAAGTAATTTTGCACACCCTACTAAAAATTATAGGTTGCACGTTTTGGTTTGACTAGTCTGCCCTTGGGAGGAAAGATGATAAAGTGTCTAAATAATTTTGTTTTGCAACTGTCATGGCTCATGGCAGGGGGGCAGGTAAGTAAAAGTAGAAATATGTAAACTTAGTCTAATTATAAACAGCTCACTTTCAGAACTTGATCTGTCTAGAACTGCCGCTCTTAACCTTTATTCTTTTGTTCTCTTTGCACAACCACACAAGACTGAACCCCTACCCCCCAAAAAAGTCATCTTACTTATATTTTAGTAGCAAAAATTTGAAAGGTGAAGGGGTAATTGAAATGGATATTGTTACGATGATTCAGTAGTTTTTGGATTTAGCTATTACCTGCACGTATAGCAAAACAAGCTGGTACAGTTTTCCGGAAAGAGGTTCCTTGAGATAACTTCAACAAAAGAGAAAATCCAGCTGCATGGGTTACTTGAGATAAAAATGCATTCGCACTTAAGCAAAAGGATGACAGAAGTGAGGTGCTAGTTACATGTCTTAGCTATTAAATGATGGCACTAAACCTCCATGCTCTGGCAAGAATGGCACACAGAATTCTTTTGCAAACTGTACCTTACGAATTGGAGTGGATTGCGGAGGCCTATCAAAAGCAAATGGTATAAGAAGCAAGATCTCAATTGTTATCTGTGCTTTTGGCCTCTGCAATAGTGAGCCCTCTGGCTAACTTGTGCTTCTCCAATCCTCCTGGGATTTCATGCTCCTTCATCCCTGAAGGAAAGGATTTAGAGTGTAGAATCTGTTGACATCTTGTTAGTTCTGGGGGAATAGGACTTTTGAAAGAAAAGACAAGCCAGGAAAGCCCCCGTAGAATCAGAATGATTGGCCATGGAGCAGTTTTGTGTGTATGTGAATCTTTTCAGAAAGGAATAATTTCTGTGTCCCTGTTTCAAGATTCCTTGCTAGAATCCTTCTCAAAACCGAGGATGCTATTAAAGGTCACTCCAGGACAGCCCCAAGGCTCAAGTCCCCTTGAAATACTTAACACCTGCTATCAAGTACTTGAAACGTCTGTTTTCCAGACTAACCAATCCAAACGCTAATAACAAATCCTTACTACTATAGAATTTGAATGCTCTCCCCATTTCTAAGTCCCTGTCTGTCTGGTCTAGTGCCAGTCTAGCTGATCTATTTCTTTCTTGAAGATGAGCTCCCAGGAATGAGTGATTCTTCAGGGACAGCTCACTAGTACACAGCTGGACAGGATTGCCTATTCCCTCCTAGACTGTGGACATATTTAGATTTGATAGTGCATGAGACATAGACTGCTGAGGAGTTACTCAGTCCTTCCTAAGATAATGTAAGAAATGCGTTGGACTTAATAGAAATGTATAAATAAGAAGAAGGTACAAGCTCAAATAAGTTCTGCAGCTATGCAGATAACACAAGTGTGATGCCATCCAGTGACCGTAAAGAAGGATCCTTATCCCTCTTGGGACAGTCTGGAGAGCACATAGCATCCTTAAAGGCATGCAGCCTCTTTTATGTCTTTAACGCCACGTAGGACAAATAAAGCACTGACCTCACCCATGGTCTGTGTCTCAGGCTGGTGTATGGTGTGGCATTAACAGCCACACATGGGAAACTGGACCATCCAATGTTCTTATTGTGCTGAGCAAAATAAACTCTCTTGGAAAAAAAAGCAGTTCATTACAAAATGAGCAGCAATTGCTTATTTTAAATCTTTCAGGAGTAAAGTAGCAAATGCTCCTGAAACTTTATAACACTTGGATGTTGGTTGAGATCACTTTTCCAAAAGGTAATGATTATGTTCATTCCACATTTATCCAACAAATATTTATTATTGATAATAATGATAATATTTATTTAGCTTACTATTTGATAGTCAGTAGGCTACATTTTGTGCACATGATTAAAAATAATCCTCACTAGAATGTCTGGGTGGTTCAATCAGTTAAGCATCTGACTCTTGATTTTGTCTCAGATCAAGAGCCAAATGGCTCAGATCAAGAGATCATGATTTGTGAGTTCACGCCCCGTGCCAGCCTCTGCACTGATGGCACAGAACCTGACTGGGATTCTCTCTCTTTCTCTCCCTCTCTTTTTCTCTCTTCCCCTCCCCTGCTCTCTCTCTTTCTCAAAATAAATAAACAACCTTAAAAACTCCTCACAAAAAGAAAATGAAATTGGTACTGCCCATAATTAGTACCATGCAGAACTTTACTAGTGTTCTGTCTCTACTTGTCCCTTTTTCTTTTTCCCAGCGATGACACACATTCTTTTCACCATAACCTGACAATCCTTAGAAGGAAACTCATTAAAATTTTGTACGGATTTAGTCTGTAACTGCTCATAGACTGGCAAGAATAAGAAACTCAACTGATTTGTTTTTAGAGTGCTTTTCACCCCCTCCCCCCAATTGACATATATTGTCTTCTTGTTAAAACTTCTTCCCCTCATAATGTAGACAGAGCTCGGCTGGAGGGTCAGGTCTTTTCCACCGTGGACTGCCTTGCTGCTGGGCAGGAAGAGCTCATCCTTCTGCAAGAGAAAGTCAAGAATGGGAAACTGTCTGTGGATGAAGCCCTAGAGAAATTTAAACATTGGCAGATGGGAAAGACTGAACTGGAGATGATTCAGCAGGTAATAATGACCCTAATCCTTTCTGGAACATTCACCTCACTTGCAGAGCCTGTCTGTAAATGCATAGTCTTTGTAAGAAACACAGATACTGTTCATTTGACTTTAACTAGCCACACATACACAAAAAAGATGCTTTCAAACTACCAATTAAATGTTTGCAACTATCTCGATTTCATGTATACAAACCATTGTTGATCTCAATGCTGGGACCCACTAAATCAGAGCTAATACCCAATCACCTTATTAGGCTGTTCTTAGTATAGTGAATGTTTTGTGAATCTCACTGCTGAAATTAAGGTGAAGCATCTTTACATTAACGCATGCTCAACATTCTGAAGAGTGTATTATGTGGACCATACTTCAAGGGAACCAGAAAATGATTTAAATCATATCAGGCAATAGTCCTCAACAAAATATAATAAGTTTTCTCTTCTCTTCCCCTTAACCTTTGGAGGGGAAAAGGCTGTATATATCAGTCAGGATTTACAAAGATATGCTGCCAAGCAAATCAACTTCAGATAAGCTTGTCTTCTAGAAATATAATGTATAACTTGAGAGGGTATTAGAGTAGGTGGTTCCGAGGTGAGGCTGAAAACAAAATATACCATACACATCCCATGTCATTCCTCGGTGAGGGGTATCAGGACTGTATTCTGTTTAATCCCACAGATTTTCCTACACCACAAATAGCCCAACAGTTTTCTCTTCTCATCACAGAAAACCCCAGTGCCATAGAAACCAGTTCTCAGGAACTGTTTGATTAAACACATTTAATTAGCTAGTTTAGGCCAAAGTACAAATAATCATTAATAGCTTAATATGCCACCTTTCCCAAGGGATCATTTTTGTTGAAAAACAATGCATAGGAAAACATTTTTAAACAACAGAAAAATGAATCCCAGTGATGAAACTGCAAACAAATGTGGCCTCTAGGCAGAAGGTAGTTTAGGCAAGGGACTTTGCCAGTACCTCTGAGATCACTTCTCAGAAGCCACCTATCTTGAAGGACAGCTCTGGTTGTGGGTGGTGGCTGGACTTGGGCCTGCTTTGCCAAACAAATGAGGAAAAAATGCTGAATGTACAGTTCTGCAGCCGATCGTAGTTCATGATCAGAATGACAATGCTGCTTCTCAGTCTGGGCCAATGCCATCACCATCAAACATCTTTCTTATTCTGAAAGGGATAAAATGTGCCTAAGTGCCAACACTTTCCTAGCCTTGTTAGCAAGTTTTGCTGAAAATAAGTCCATTGTACTTCACCCTCCTCAGATCATAATAAAGCTTGCGATTTAGAGGAATCCAACTGAAATACCTTCTTGAAAATTATTTCACTAGTTGTTTTATTAAAGGTTTGGTTGTTATTAATTTGTGTGTGTGTTTATATTTAATATTCTTTTAGAAAGAAGTTAAGGTGGTCTGTTAACTACTTTGAGACTGATCTGACTTATCCAATATACAGGGAAAATGGGATAATGAATATGGTTACTGTTTACACAGAACAAAACTTAACCTGTAAATCCAAGAACAAGCACTAAATCAGGCCTTTTCTTTTTGTATGTTTCCAGCTTTAATGAGATATCATTGACTATAACATTGGGTAAATTAAAGTGTACAGCCATGTTGATTTCATACACTTGCATATTACAAAATGATTACCACCGAAGTATTAGCTAACACCTCCACCATATCAAAAAATTATCATTTCTTTTTTTGGGCGAGAACATTCAATATCTACCCTCTTAGCAACTTTCAAGTACATAATACAGTATTGTTTACTACCATCCCATCACTGTGCTGTGCGTTAGACCACCAGAACTTATTTATCTTATAACTGGAAGTCTGTACTCTTTAATCAACTTCACTTTCCCTCCACTTCCTGGTCACTGGTAACTACCACTATACTCACTGAGGGCAGCTTTTTTAGATTCCACCTATAAACAATATCATACCATGTTTGTCTTTCTCTCTCCGACTTTTTTCACTTAGCATAATGCCCTCAGGGTTTATTCATGTCACAAATTGCAGAATTTCCTTCTTTCTCACGGCTTATGTATGTAATCACATCTTCTTGATCCATTCATCCATTGACAGACGCTTAGGTTATTTCCATATCTTAGCTATTGCAAATAATCCTGCAGTGAATGTGAGGGTTTAGTTATGTCTTCAATATCCTATTTTCATTTTCTTCATATATACACCAAGGAATGGGGTTCCTAGGTCATACATAGCTCTATTTTTAATTTTTAAGAAACCTACATACTGTTTTCCATAGTGGCTGCATCAATTTACATTCCCACCGACAATGAACAAGGGTTCCCTTTCCTCCACATCCTGCCAACACTTGCTATCTCATGTCTTTTTGATGATAACCATTCTAACAGGTGTCAGGTGATGATACGTCAATGTGGTTTTCATTTGCATTTTCCTATTGATTAGTGATGTTGAACACCTTCTCATATACCTGTTGGCCATTTGTATGTCATTTTTGAAAAACTGCCTTATTTAGTCCCTCCACCCATGTTTTTTCTCTGACCATTTTTTAACTAGATTATTTGACTTTTGCTACTGAGTTATTTGGGTTTTTTTTTAATTTTATATTATTATTTTTATTGTTTAAAAAAAATTTAGCGTAAGTGGGGGAGGGGCAGAGAGAGAGGGAGACACAGAATCCAAAGCAGGCTCCAGGCTCTGAGCTGTCAGCACAGAGCCTGCTGTGGGGCTCAGTCCCACGAACCATTGACACCATAATCTGAGCCAGTCAGACACTTAACTGACTGGGCCACCCAGGCACCCCACTATTGAGTTATTTTGAATTCTTAATGTATTTTGGATATTAACCCCTTACCAGATATATGATTTACACATATTTTCTCCCATTCTGTAGATAGCCTTTTTATTTTTTTTATTGTTTCTTTTGCTGTATAGATGCTTTTCAGGTTGATATAGTCCTACTTGTCTATTTTTGCTTCTGTTGCTTGTGCTTTGGGGTGTCATATGCAAAAACCTATTGCCAAGATCAATGTCAAGGAGTTTTTTTCCCTGTGTTCTCTTAGTCCTTAACATAAGGGGCTGGACAATATTCAGAATAACAGAAAAATGGATTTTCTCCTCATTTTCCTAATATACATATATATATAGTATATAGTATATATATAGTATATAATATATAGTATATAGTATATATATACTATATAATATATATAGTATATATATATTATATAGTATATATATATATAGTATATATATATATATACAGTCATTTCCACAGACTTTTCTTTTAAAAAATATCTATTTATTTTTGGTAGAGCACAAGCAGAGGAGGGATCCAAAGTGGGCTCTGCACTGACACCAGGGAACCCAATGTGAGGCTTGAAATCACAAACCCTGAGATCATGACCTGAGCTGAAATCAGGCGCTCAGCTGACTAAGCACCCACGTGTCCCTTCACACACTTTTCAATATAACTCCTATAGTTTGCAAAAACATTCATTTGTACCCTGAGGTACAAAGCTGTCAGGGGTAACTGTGATGTTATATTATTATTATTATTAATTATTGATACAGGTATTATCCTAAGAAAATAAGAGGAAAAGTGGCATAACCATAAAGTTAATAATGGAAGAGTTTCTAGCGTAATGAAGACCCATGTAGAATCCCTAGAGTTGAAAGTGAGAAGGCTGAGAAGGGAAAAACTGCCTTTTACTCCCCTCACTCCTGCCCATAACCAGTGAATGCCTGAAGAAGAGTATTTACTCCACTCATAGAAGAAGATCTTTAAGGCAGTGAAAACAACTCTCTTTTTAGGAAGCATGGTTTCTAGGTTTCAAGGGAAATTCTTAGGAAAAAAAGGCTATTCATAGATTCTCTTCTAAAAGGAGATTTTTTTTTCATGTTAGCTTGTTTTACATTTTGGATAAAATGATAATAAATGTTCAACCTAGAAAGTTTTGGAAAGCAAAGAAAGATCACAGATGAGCTAAGAAGGGTAATCCAGTTATGTATCATTTGCTTCCAAGGCCCTAGTTCTTAAAAGAAATATGTAAGGAAGATTGTGCCCTACAGAGGCTAGAGATGGGTTCACGCAGAAGCAAATCACCACTGTGTCACACTTTTGCTTTTGGACACCATATAGCCAAGGTAGCCCACTCTGGTGTTAGATCAGGAAAGCCACTCCCAAAAGAACTGGGCTTTGGGTCCCCATGCCGACTCTACCACTTACAACTCTGTGATTTGGAAGTTACTTAACCTCTCTGAATCTCAGCTTCTATTTCTGTAAACTGAGATGATGGCATATATGCTTCATGAAGTTGTGAAAATTAATTAAGATAATGCATTCAAAGTGTCTGGGATGGCTGATTGGGATGCTGTAAATATCAAATTGGTGCTACATAGTCATGGTGGTCCTAATGACAGTAGTTGATGTTTTCATTTTGATCTATGACAAACTTATAAATCCTCACTTCTATTTTCTGGTCATTCTCTCATTAAGGAAAAATTACGCCAACTCCGAGACTGCATCATTGGGAAAAGGCCAGAAGAAGAAAATGTCTCTGGTAAGTAAGATCTGTCTGTTATTCAAAAGTGATAGAGTGATGAAGTAGAAAATGTAAGGGCTGTGGAGTCAACCAAGCCTGAAGTCAAATCCGCTCCATCACTTCCCAGCTGCAGGACTGGCGAGCATCTTAATCCCTGGTACTCAGGTTCCTTGTCTGCAAAATAGGAGTGATTATAGATATATCTGGAAGTGGTTGTATAAGTTCACATGTAAAATATTTTTCACCTTCTTTGACCCAGAATGAACCTTCAATAAATGCTAGATTCTTTCCTTTGGTTTCTATGAAAATTGCAAATAATTCCATTCCAGTTATATATATATATATATATATATATATATATATATTCGGTACTCTATATAATGAGCCATTATACAGAGTACTGAACTATTAAGAAGTCATACTTTTTTAATAAGGTTGAATATTCTCAATATACTCAGTTTGCACAATTGTCCACATGTGGATCATTTTAAATGGTAAACCTCAGGTTGCCTTCCCCTGCAGCTAGCATGCTTCTTGGCAATGCAGATTTCCCTTGCTAATAATTTACAGTCACTCTAACGGGGCAGGGAGGGGGGACGGGCGGCAGGGAGGGGGGACTCTTGCTTTAATGCTAACACAAACCAAACATTATTAAGGTGGTAAATCTTCTCCAAAGATAAATAGCACATTCCAAAATTGAAAATAAATTATGTTGTCACTATCAGACCTCTCTTTCCCCAAGTCCTTACCCCTGCACAGATAATTAAAAGCTAACAACCACTAGCAAAGCTTGAAATTTCTATCTCTTCCATTTTCAATAAGATTGCATAGATTTTAGCTAGTGCTTCATGTTGAAATTTACCCTGAAAAAATTATTTTCATATTATTAAATTGTTATCTACTCTTCCACAGAAAATTCTTTAAGCTGTCTTAGAAATGTTTTCTAAAAACAGAAATATACTTTCTAAAATAATTATGCTCATAAACACAGGGATAATTTACAGATAACTGAGTTCTACAGATCTCTATTCTAATGTGGAAAAAGATTACAATTTTAACAATATAAAAAATATGTAGTAAAAGTATATATACACTTTTGCTAAGGAATATTCAGTAGTGGTAGTAGCAGGTAATATTTGATTACTTACTATACATTTAGTATTATCTTTTTAATTTCTTATAATAACCCTTTGAGATAGACATTATTACCATTTTATAAATAGGGAAACTAAGACTGTAAGAAACTAAGAAGCCCAAGGCACCTGGATGGATCAGTCGTTAAGCATCTGACTTCAACTCAGGTCATATCTCAAGTTCATAAGTTCGAGTCCCACATCAGGTGAACATGAGCCCTGCTCCTCTCTCTCTCTCTTTCCCTATTTCCCTCTCTCCCTCCTGGGATTCTCTCTCTCTCTAGCCCTCGCTCACTTGCACCCTTTCTCTGAAAAAAAAAAAAAAAAAGAAACAAACTAAGAAGCCACAAAACACACAGATTAGAAACTACAGCCTAGTTCTTTTTTAATCCAAAGTTAATGCTTTTAAACACTGGTGTCTTAATTAAGAATCAGCTAGTTCCCCTTCTAACCAAAATGGGATAAAGTAGTACCAGACAAACCCTCCCACTGTATACAACACTAATACTAGGCAAATATGAGGCAGGTGATTTCAGGCAGCAGGCAATTAGCAGTCTAAGATCATAATTCTAGTAACAGAATTTACGAGGCGTCTCTCATGACTGCCCAGGAGACTGATTTCCTGAGTACAGTCATGCAAAGCAAGGCAATCCTGTTGAAAAGAGGCATAGATCAGAGTTCAGGGCAACCGGAGCTTCTGGAATGTCTGTGGTGGGTCATTGAAGAGGAGGTAACTGTGTAGAGAAGTAGCTTCAGAGAGAGTGAGGGAATCCACAAGTCTGTGGCCAAGAGATGAGCAAGACCACTCATGCATACCAGATAACAGTTTCTGGACACTGAAAGCAGAACAGAGTCACTATAGTTTAAGCAGAACCAGGAAGAGCCAGACTGTGGGTGTTTGAGATTTTTCCCTACCAGAGCAGAAAAATCTCCCTAACACATGAAAACACCTGGTATCCTGCTGTGACATCCAAGAGATATAATGGTTAAAGACCATGACTTAGTGTGAGATCTCCTCTAGACCTGCACTAACAAACCCTATGAGATACACATGGATGACAGTTTGTAGGCTCAGGCCCGGTATAGGCTTTAGAAGACACCTTGGGCTGTCTATAGGACAACACTGAAAAAAGCATAAAAGCAGGCCTATACAAGTTCATGCCAATAATCAAACTGCCTGCTCAAATAAGAACAAACACTTATTAAAGGAATATTATAGGATCCAGACTATACAGCTGATTATCTATAATGTCCAGTAATCAATTTTTTTCTTTAAAAAAAAAAAGAAGACATACAAAGATTAAGGAAATGGGATTCAGGGTCTCTTGGATGGCTCAGTTGGCTAAGCGTCCGACTTCGGCTCAGGTCGTGATCTCACGGTTCGTGGGTTCCAGCCCCACATTGGGTTCTGTGCTGACAGCTCAGAGCCTGGAGCCTGCTTCAGGCTCTGTGTCTCCCTCTCTCTCTGCCCCTCCCCAGCTAGTGTTCTGTCTCTCTCTGTCTCAAAAATAAACTATTAATTTTTTTAAAAAAGAAAATGTGATTCATAGAAAAGAAAAAGCTCTCAAAAACTGAAATGTTTCTGTTGTTGATCTTAACAGACAAAAACTTCAAAGCAACTCTTATAAACATATTTAAATGAATAAAAAAAACGTTTTTAAGGAGTGACTAAATAGGGAATCTATTGACATTTACAGGACTTGACATGGAAAGAAATTAGAGTACATGTTTGTTTAAAGTGTACATGGAAGGTATACCAAAATAGAACATATGCTGGGCTATTTAAAAAGTTTCAACAAGTTTCACAAGATTTGAAATCTTCAGAGTATGTTCTCTGAACAATTTCAGTCTTTTGAAATCTTATATTCTCTTACCACAACAAAAAAAATTAAAATTTAATTAAGAAATTAAAAATACCTCTCAAAATAGTTAGGAATTAAGTACATTTCAAAATAACCCATGGGTCAAATAAGAAATCACAAGAAGATGTTTCAACCTAAATGATTATGAAAATACAATATATCAAAATGTGTGGAATCCAGCTAAAGTAGTCCTTAGAGGTACATTTATGGCTATAAATATTATAGTAGAAAAGAAGAAAAGTTTAAGATCAGCAATGTGGGTTTCTACTTCAAGAAACTGAAAAGTACAGGGCACCTGGGTGGCTCAGTTGGTTGGGCGGCTGACTTCGGCTCAGGTCATGATCCCACTGCCTGTCCGTGGGTTCCAGCCCCACCCCGCGTCGCGTTGGGCTCTGTGCTGTCAGCTTGGAGCCTGGAGCCTGCTTTGAATTCTGTGATTCCCTGTCTCTCTACCCCGACCCCACTCAAGCTCTGTCTCTCTCTGTCTCAGAAAGAAAATAAACAAACAAACAAACAAACAAAGAAACTGAAAAGTACAAAGCAATCTAAATCGAAAAAATGGTAAGAGGAAAAACTGTGAAGTTCAGATCAAAAATCAATAAAAAATGAAAGAGTTGAACAACAGAAAACAATTAACAAAAACAAGAATTATTTATTTGAAAACATAACTAAAATTGATAAAACTGTGACAAAAATGAACTGGAAAAAAGGGAAAACAAGAGCTACCATACTGGGAAAGTGAAGTGAGGCTATCACAACAGATCCTACAGATATTAAAGAGATACTAATGAAATATAATTAATTTTTTGCCAATACATTTAACAACTTAGGCAAAAAGAACAAAATAATTAAAAAACAAAACTTACAAAACTAACTAAAAAATTACACCTCTCTGAACGTACCTCTTTCAGAATGTACTTTCAGAACTTTGTTAATATTTTACATATTCAACAAAAATGAATCTGGAAAGGCGGTAAAATGGAGTAAGAGCAGAAGAAAATTAACCAAGAAGTATTCCAAATAAAAAACATCTCCACACTGAAGGGAGATAGAAGAAAAACTAACATAAATATAGAAAACAGTATATTCCAAGGATAAAAATAAAAGAAAAAAAATCAATATATAAAAATGTATTCTGTACTCTAGTAAGTAGGCTTATTTCTCTATAGGAGTATAGTTTAGCAATTTCAAAAACTACCATTTTCATATTCTAAGATTGAGTAAATAAATATACTGTGGGTAGTAAGAATCAGATTTCCTATTGTCAGACAAAGGGGTAAGGTAACAACTAAGGAAAGAAGGAAAGTTGGAATGATTTTATCATTCTAAATTGGAATTGGAGTTAAAAATAACAACTCCTGGTTATAAATATATATATATATTTATATATATTACAAATAAACATAGAAATATAGTTGTGTGTGTAAACGTATATATTTCTTTAACCCTGTCTGCTGAAAAGGCCTTGAAACAAGGACAGCCCAGCACCAAAGAGTACATCTAGCATCTAAATCTTGGTTCACAAAAATGGATGGCCAGTAAACATGTGAAAATGTGCTCAACTCCATTAATCGTCAGGAAAGTGCAAATTAAACTAAATGAGATATCAATACACAACAAGTATAATGGCTAGAATTTTTAGATATTGTCAGAATGAAGTGATTAGCATGGAACAACCAGATATACATTGCACACATTGCTAACAGAAGTAGAAAGTGGTGTGATGACTTTGGAACAGTTAAATATGCACCTACCTTATGGCCTAGACAAGCCACTCTTGGGTATTTTTTCCAAAAAAGCAATTGAAAATGTTATGTGTGTCCAGACTTGTCCACAAAATTTATAGCAGTTTCATTTATAATAGCCAAATCAGATACAATCAAAATGTCTGGTAGAAGAAGAGATAATTATACTGTAGTATATCCATACAGTGGAATATTACTCAACAATAGAAAGAAATATCTACTAACACACCATCATGAACGAATCTCACAGATATTATGCTAAATGAAATACAAAGGAATACGTTGTATAAAATTCCATTTATCTGAAATTCCAGATAAAACTAATGTATAGCAATAGAAATCAGATCAGGGTCACTATAGATAATGGTGGGGTGAGAATTGATGTCGGAGGCACAAGAGAATTTTCCATAGAGATGAAATGTTCTCTATCCTAACTAGGTGATGGGTACATGGGTGTATAGGTTTGTCAAAGTCATCAAAAAGAGTATATTTGTACTGTATGTACTGAATAATGTTAATCTGAAAAGACAATGAGTACCTGAGGCAAAAAAGACTATCAAAGCAGAGTAGCAATCTTTGATTAAGTATCTAACATATCTAAAATCATAACACCATAATCATAATACCATAATGAGAAGGAAAATATACAAACGTAGTAAGAGGCATGGTTTCACACTTTGTAGCTGGAGGTTAGTATTTTTTTAAACAAACTGAAATTTCATAGTTGCCTCAAAGACAAGAAGTAGTCAAACAATAGAAAGAAGAAAGTTTAGGGGCTCCTGGGCGGCTCAGTCAGTTAAGCGTCCAACTTTGGCTCAGGTCATGATCTCACAGTTTTGGGTTCGAGCCCACACTGACAACTAGCTCAGAGCCTGGAGCCTGTTTCAGATTCTGTAGCTCCCTCTCTCTCTGACCCTCCCCTGCTCACACTGTCTCTCTCTCTCTCTCTCTCTCTCTCTCTCTCTCAGAAATACATTTAAAAAAAAACACAAAGAAGAAAGTTTAAGATAAATATTGACCAAAACTCAGTAGAATATGCTTTTTCTGTCTTCTAGATAAACTCACCATTGTGCACCATCCAAATGGTAAGTTTTCGGTATTTACTGAAGATTTTCAGACTACAGCAAAGCACATGGTAAATCAGTTTCAGTATTAATGTAAGCCTGATATGATTAGGCAGACCAGTACAAAAAGTCATGTCAAGACTTTATGTGTCTATGCAAAACCACTTGACATCCAAAATAAATTTGAGGTGATTCTAGAATAGCAATGTAGAGGCATTGTTACATAATACAAGAAGCATGTGCTTTGAACTGTAACCTGGCCCTTCACAGCTTACCAGTTACGGCCTTCAGGAAATCACATAAGCTATTTAGGCCTGTTTCCTCATATGTTAAATGTAGGTAAGAATTCTGCCATGGAGAGTTACTATAAAGGCCGATGGTGATATGTGTAAATGGGAGCTGATGCTCGATAAGTGGGAGTTATTTGATAGAGTAAATGCAATTGGAGTAGCACATGAAAGGGTGATTCACTTCAGTGTGGTAAGAAGGAATGTATTCAGAAGGTTGGCAGGATCAAGAGGAGCCAGAGGCCAGCTGGGAAGTTCTGACTAATCTAGAAGCAATTGTCTACAGTCTGAACCAGAGCAGTGACTGTGGAAACGGAGAAGAGCAGTAGAACTGAGCCACGTGGCTGGCTGGGGTGGAAAATGGAAAGCCTGTGGTAAAGGCAGGAGGAACCATGGCCGATGGGGAATAGGAGGAACAAGTTTTCATAAAATAGCATACTTTGTGATTGACTGATCGTGGCAAATGGAGAAAAACAAAAAGAAGAAGGCATAATTTAGTGAGGGTTGTTATTCGAAGGTGTTGGATTGTTTCTGAACTGAAGCAACTCCTCTCTGTATCCTGTGGTCAACTATCTGGGCAGGAGAAATTAATAGCATCCTTGCCATGGGTGCCTTTTCAACTTGCCCTTTTTATCACTTTAGTAGTTTTTCTCCTTACCCATATCCTACTCATAGCATATATTATTTTTAAAAAGTACCAAATAAATGAATCATTGAATATGTGAACAGCTGAAGAAATAGTAACAGAGTTTGTATTTCTAGGTAACGAAAGTGCCCGCAACGAAAATACATTATATAACACACCCTTCCGCAATAAGGTAGGTTGTATTTATGTTCTTTTATAAAATGCAAAAACAAAAAATTATTTGTTGAGAAAGAATATGAGCCTCCCATCCTGACTATGCTTTGAAACGTTTTAACAAATATGAACAAAATAGGTTACATAAGCATTTATGTGCAAATCACTGCATGAGCAGTAATTTAAAGGAATTAACTATTTAGGAGGTGCCTGGGTGGCTTAGTCGGTTAAGCGTCTGACTTTCACTTAGGTCATGATCTGGAGGTTCCTGGGTTCGAGCCCCGCGTCGGGCTCTGTGCTGACTGCCATCTCAGAGCCTGGAGCCTGTTTCAGTCTGTGACTCCCTCTCTCTCTGACCCTCCCCTGCTCACGCTGTCTCTCTCTCTCTCTCTCCTAGAAATAAATAAAACANTCTCTCTCTCTCTCTCCTAGAAATAAATAAAACATTAAAAAAAAATTAAAAAAAAAAAGGAATTAACTATTTAGAAAAAAAGCAAAGAAGGAACTCAAAGGAAAAAGGCACCAAGACTAACATATGGCTGAATTGTTCAATTCAGACCAAATAAATCTTAGAGGAATTATGGATACATCTTTTTTAGCAATAATAATATGATAAGTCTGTTTGAACCACAATGTATACAGTCCTTAAAGTCTAGCTGTAGGAAAAAAATGTAACCCCCAAATATCGTTCATGTAGATATGCATTACTTCACATGTAGAGTTAACTGAAAATGAATTGCTAAAAATAACACTAAGCAGAGAGCAGCAATCGAAAAGACTAGTTCAAGAAAATACTGATAACATCTTGACCACGAATTTTTCTTTAAAAATAAAGCATGTTTTCTAACTATCTACATATGTGATGTAGGAAATTTTCATTGTTATCCAGGGTCATGTGGCAGCTGGCATTCTTGCTACAATTCAGAATTAGAGCCCTTGGCAATTTCCCATAATGAACCAATTTTAGTTTACCAAATTTGAATAACCCTTTAAGTTCTCCTATGTTTTAAGTAAAGCATAAGGAATCATAGAAGTCATTTACCCTCAAGAACTAATTGAGTATTTGCATTTCTGGGTCACCCTGTGGCCCAACAGTGAACTACACATCTCATGAGTCTACAGTGTATGGACTCAGTAGACTCTCTGGGCTGTAGCAAAATCATGGGATACTATCTTGGCGTCTGAGTTTCTGAAAATATCCTTGTCAAATAAAGATCCTTCTACAACGTCTGAAGGACTATGCAACCATGGCATATTTTTCAGAACAATATTTGGGGTAAGAGGAAAAGAATACAAATTCCTAGTACTTAGGATATTTTCCCTCCAAATAAAATAAAACTTGAACTCAAGGACTTTGCTGTAGTTGAGCTTTGCAATGATTCTTTCCTTTTAAAGATGGAGGACTGCTTTCCCAGTTGCCTCTATAAAGCTATTTTCCTGTGAAAGGCAACCATGACTTTATCATGTTCCTTTCTTTGGTCTTAAAATGGAGAAATGCTAGCTCTATATCTTTTTTGTCTTTTTTTTCTTAGCTTCCTACTCGACTCCAGGTTGAAAAGGAATTTGGTTTCTGTTGCAGGAAAGATTACTAAAGAAGGTAAAATATCAGCTATATTTTTTTAGCTATATTTTTCAGAAAGCTTAAGGCAGGCTTAGGGGCTTGAAGGAATCATTTGTCTAGCAAACAGAATACTTTAAATATTTCATTGTCTTCTCCTGCAAGGATAAACATGTATATTTTTCAAGCTAGAGGTGATTGTTCCTTAGAAAGATTTATGTGGAGGGGTGATTTTATGCTAGCTAATCAATTTCAATTGATGATCCATTATTCACTAATACATTTCCTGTGATCTCACTTTTAGGTTATTATAATGAAACCCAAAAAATCTGCAGACACTGTGCTTTCTGGGTGAAGCATGCTTGCATTTGGATTGCCTACTGTCTTCAGGGAAAATACTATACTATGAAAGCAGAAGCACACATCTGGATTTTAGAATGTGTCATTGCCACAACTTATTGGTATTAATCTGCTTCAGATAGGTACATCAAGATTCAAATTGAATGTCATAGAGCAATTGCATTCTTTGACAATTCTTGCATTTTACAATGCATTTTGCCACTGAAGCAGCTGTTTCCCATTTTGAAAATTAAGGGAAAACAAGAGCAGAGAAGTGAAAAATGCTCCGTAGCAAAGATATTGTGCCTGTTTGAAGCACTCACCTTAATAGTTTACTCCTCTGTCTTTAGAATGACCATGAAAATACACATGTGTTTTATCTGTCTTTGCCTTTTAAGTAGCTGGTCCATTTTCTGAATTTCTGACATTCAGATCTCTAATTATTATTGTCATATGACGTTTTCAGAAACTTTCCCTTACTTAGTGCCTATTTGCATATGACCTTGAGAATATTATTTTTTAACTTTCTCTATCTCAAATTAATATACATTCCCACAACCTACATTCTTTATGAAGAGGCTTACAATTTCAGCAACCTATTTTTTAGAAACAAGTTACTAGTGTAGAATAGAATGCAATGTTATCATTCTGTGGTTCCCATGCACAATTCCTGCAAATAAAATGAATGTTTAAAACTGTGTCTGGCTTTCCAAAATAAATGCGTAATAATTAACCACTAAATTCTTCTGCTTACCAGTTTTCAGAAGGAATGCTCCTGGAAAAAAAATGCTAACTCATTTAATTTCACTGTATAGTCCCCATAAAGTAAACACACAAACGATTTTTTTCTAGCTTCTCAACAGTGATGGGAATATCTATTTAAAATGATTCTGAAAAACATTGATCACAGGTTTCTCATGACTATTAACATTCTCAAATAAGCTCAAGTTTTAAAAAAGTAATACATACATTTGATTCATCCCTAATAGAGGATATTTTCATCATGACATTTTGAAATCTAGTCCGTAGTTGTAAGCTTTCAAGAAATGGCATGGCCTTCCACACACTGAGCTCCCATTTGTGTGGACCGTCCCATCCAAAGAGTTCAGGAAAGCAATAGGAAAACTGGCTGCTTTTATATAATTTTCCCAATCTTTAAATTCAAATACATGTATCGTCTCTGAAGTAAGAACCTCTATATAGGCCTGTGACTGATATCTAACAGTCTCACCATTGGCTTTATTTTTATTAAAAATGTAAAATACAGTGACAGATAAAATGCCAACTTTTCTAAATATAAAACGATTAGATTATCTCTTACCTGAGAGCCAATTAAGGGTGGAAGAGGAGGATGAGGCTTAAATATCATTCAGGTCTTTAACATAGACAAAAATCTAAAATCAGGGCCTCCAAATACTACCTTTATGAACTGCACTAAAATAAATAAATGCCACAAAGCCCCCTTAAATAGCCTTTTTCCCAAGATATCTGCCCTTGAAATGCTACCACTTTGTCATCACAAACAGACATGGAAAATAGAACACTAAAATAACTGAGGGCTTCCTCATGTTGCCTCTGCCATGGCTCCTCTCATCCTTGACTGATCTGGAAGATGGCTGAAGAAGGTTGGAATTGGGGAATCTGGAGGAATCCAAATCATTACCTGTCTCATTGGAGGAAGAGACGAAAAGTAGAATACAAGGGTAGAGGAAGACGAACCCAAATTTAGGAATGACCCCAAATGAAAATGCCCCATGGAAGCATAGTTTTTTAATCTCTGAACTCCATCCCTAACATGTACAATACTGTCCATTCACTATGAGCTGCACAATAGAAGCTTTGCATTTGTGAAAGAAGAGTTCAGAGGACAGGACAAAGGGGCAGGGAAAAAGACTAGGATGATGCGAACTTTCGTTGGAGATTTGGGGACATATCTCAGAGAGCCCTAACCACTGCTAGAAGGGAAAGACCTACGTGGGAGATCTTATGAAGATTGTGTGCTGGTTCTGGAAACCTGAGCAACCAGTAGCTAATAGACCTTATCTTTCTCATCATCCCTTTCTTACCTCAGGTTGGTTTCCAAGCCACCCCTAACTTTGGCCAAAACCCAGCCCCTTCCTCAGGTTCTTAAATTTACCAGGACTCTAGCTTCTAAAGAAATTTTGAACTGGTACTGAATGTAATCAGAGTTTTATGTTTAATATTAATTCCCTTATTCTCTACCTAGTCAATTTCCTAGGATAACAAAGAGGAAGCATGTAGACCAATGGTTCTTAACTGGACAATTTGCTTCCCTTGCCCCAGACTTTTGGCAATATCTGGCAACAATTTTTATTGTCATGACCGTGGAGAAGGTGTTTCTGGCATCTGGTGCGTAGAGACAGGATGCTAATTAACATCCTATAATACCCAAGGCAAAGAATTATCCCGTCCGAAATATCAATAGCACCAAGGTTGAGGACTCCTAGACTAGACTAGACCATAATATGTGATTACCACTTAAAGTAGTGTTGTTAAAATAAAAAGTTAGCTTTATACAGAATTTTCTGGAAATTTTGAAATTAGAAACCCTAGCTACAATAGTACAAATGGAATTCTTTGTTTTGAAGTGCATAAGCTTAAATGGATCATTAAATACTCTAAAGAATGGATGACTCTAATATATTTTCATAAATCAAACATTCAATTAAATAATAGAGACTCCGATTTTTAGAAAATGAGACTGTTCTCAGTATTGTTCTAATAAGAATAACTTTGTAATTTGAGTCATTATCATATCCCGTTTGTACACCAAGTATTTGCTCATCTGAGTTTCTTCTTGTTTCCTATAATGTTGAGGAGTCTGATTTTAATAATTTGGACCTTCTGAATTTTACTGCAAATAGCTATTCTAAATGGGTAAATATTTAGGAGAGAGATCAGCATCATGACCTGATCTACTAGGTCCCAGCTCAGAGCTGGCATAAGGCCCTACTTGAAGCTCTTTCTGTAGCTGTAATCGCCAGTCATCTTGTTGGCCTGCCTTATTTTGTGGGGCTGACCTTTAAAGGCAGGGACTACCATGTAAAAGACAACAAAAGGTAAGATTCTCAATATAACTGACCTCAAGTATATAAATTAAAGTATATGGTTTTCTCAATATTTTCATCTTCAAAATGCAGACAATGCTTCTCATATAATTTCCTGGTTATTAAATGACATCAGATATTGACATAAGCAGTGCAGTACTTCATTCAAGAGCATGAGCTTTGAGGTAAGGCTGACCTAGTTTGAATATTGGCTCAGCTATGTCCTACCTGTGCAGACTCAAGCCAGTTTTAAGTCTCCTTGAGCCCTATTTATTCATTAGTAAATGAGGGTTATAATACCAATGTTAGCACAGATTGTTTGAGAATTAAATGTAAGGAGATCATTTAATTAATTTATCATCCAAGAAGGCACTTTTGATGGTAAAATGGAGTAGCATTAATGATTACAATAGAAAAGCAGGTATAAACTGGGTCTACTCCAAGCATAAACTGGAATATGTGGTTACATGTCTCTACTTAAATGAGATGTAAGTGTTTAGAACATTTTGGCTAGGAATAAATAATCAATGAAAACGGTTTACAAGAAAATATTCCTCTTTGAAATGTGAATACAGTATGATACTCTAGGCTGGCTTGTTACTAAGCATATTCTTCTAGCATATGACTAAAATCTAATCATTATTTAAAAAAACTAATGACTACAAAGTGTGGAATGGCCACCTGGATCACCCAGAAAGATCAAAAGCCTCAAGTGGAAAAATCCTTCAGTGGTAAATTACTACAGCAGTGCTTCCCAAGTTTTATTAAAAAAAAAAACAAAAAACAAAAACTCAAGGATATTGCATCAAAAAGGGGCTCTGTGACCAAGTGACTTTAGAAGGTTCTGTGTATTTTAGTCCTTTCTAGAATAGCATATTAGAGGGGCACCTGGATGGCTCAGTCAGTTGAGTGGCTGACTTCAGCTTAGGTCATCAACTCGTGGTTTGTGGGTTTGAGCCCTGTGTGAGGCTCTGTGCCGACAGCTCAGAGCCTGGAGCCTGCCTTGGATTCTGTGTCTCCCTCTCTCTCTGCCCCTCCCCCACTCACTCTCTTTCTCTCTCTCAAAAATAAATAAGCATTAAAAAAATCTTAGACTAAGTAATCCAGCAATAAAATCTATATAGTTTGAAATATACTGACTCACATTTTATGTAACTATAAGCTGGCCTCATTTTCCACATAATGGGAAAAGAAAAACTGGCTGATTGATGCCTAAAATGATATATTTAGATGGAGCCTGAAACTTGGGTTTAATGGGAAAGATCAAGATCAATTAATGATAGTTGCCATGGATAATGGTATGGGGGGAGGGGAGTGGTGGCATGCATGATACTTGGCATTCAGGATTTGTCTTTAATTAGCATAAAGCAAAATATTACATTCTGACTTTTGCAAATAACAATCAATTTCAGTCAGAATGAAAATCACTTGTCTTCAAAAGAATTAATTGGTAGGCATGTCTCTAAGTAAAACACTGTAATTTCTGTATAATTCTTTGTATGTCTCCAAATAAACATTAAGCTTGGTTCCACACAGAATTGGTGCAAGACCATTTGGAGATTCTGTGCATTTGCATGTATCAAACACTGAAGCAGTATCTGTGTCCATGGAAACTAGCAGGACAGTTTTGCTCAGAGAGCCTTTTTTGCCCGCCCTGTATGTCAATAAGTGACCCTTAGAGAGAGAAATTAGCTCTCAGCAAATTCATGAACAATTTCTTGTGGGTGGTCTCTTTCATTTCTCAGGGAGTGGATGGAAATGCTATACCGACTATCATAAAGTTGCTAAACTTTTGCCCCTAGCATTTCTCTTATCTTTATTTGAGCAAAAGAGGGACAGAGATTCCAGGAAGTATGAACTGATGCTGCTTTCGCATTCATGCCTGGCACTTAGTGAAAGCATCTACAGTTACACTAAAGAGCCTTAAGCATCCTCACAAAACATTGACAATTTGTCACAATGTTGTACAATGAGGTGTTCTA